GATTAGATTAAAATTTATAAATTATAGTATCTTTTATTTTTAATAATATCTAAAATTAAAAAAAAAAAGCCGCAATATGGTCATGTTTACACAACAAAATTTGCAAGGAGCATTAACTAAAATGCAAAAATGAGTTTTATATAATTAATTTTTATTTTCTCTTTTCACAATTTGGTTGTTTCACTAATCTGGGTATATTAATATCTAGCAATACAAATGCATAGTTATTGATATCTTTTAAATATACACTAGATTGATAGTATGAGAATCAGCATATAGATTTTTTGCAGTAGAGCCAGTGAAATTTATCTAGTGTTTCACCTTTATAAATTGTCCATTTTTTGTATTTTGCAGATCTTATGCTTCATTAAATTATCCAGAGAATCTCTCTAAAAAACTGGTCACAAAGTAACAAAAACCGAGTTTGCTTTTTGTTAATAATCGAGATTAAAATTTTATAACTAATCAATATGAAATAATATCTTGCTAGTTTTACTTAGTCGCATTTACCCTTTTTCAGCCACCTTTACTTGCGTTTAGTGGTTAGTTGCTACCAATAGAATATTTTTGAAAATATCATAATTTATATTCTAATTTGATTTGTCATTATTATTATGTGTATTACATAATGACGTATAATCTCTAATTTACTAATTTCTATGCCTTCAACCTAGTATACAAATTTTTTTTTTTAACAATAGAATGCAAAGATATTCCTAAAATATGAAAATCCATCATATGTGTTTGCAAAAAATATAAAGAGAAGAAAGAAGTAGATCCAAGAACTAAAAAAAAGTATTTAAAAAAATATAGATTTTATCAACCTGCTATATCAACGTCAATGGTGTCCCAAACTTCATTAGAATTATTAAGACAATTATTTGATAATAATATTGATAATAACATAATAAAGATACAGAAATAGATCTTTCAGATATTTCACCCAATCCTTCTCTTTCAGATATTCTACCTGATCCTTCTTTTTCAGATATTTCACCCAATCCTTCTTTTCTTATAAATAAACATATTAAAACAAGAAGTTATTTAATACCTAAAATTAACAAAGCAAAAGAAATTTTTAGTAGAGACTTGGCTTTACATATTGAAGAATCTGATAGCATTTCAAGTAAAGAGGAAATGGAATCATTTGATTCTGATTACGATAATGAATTAGAACTATTTGACCCTAATATGGATAATGAAGAGGATGAATATCAAAATTTTGGAGACAATCAAATATTTGCTATATCCAATATTTCTTTAACTAGTATGATATAAACCTATATTATTAAATTATAAAAAAAATATAATAAATTATTTAAAATAT